GGCAATCTCCTACATCACTCAACCTGTGAGGTTTTCGTAAGCAATCCTCACTCCACGCATCCATGCGTCACGCGTCTTTGGTAGCGCATACTATGGGGGCTATATTTGGGGTGGCGTGTTTTACAGCGCTTTGCCAACAGCGCCAACCCACTGAAGTCTAGATTGCGAAGGAGGACCGGGGGGGGCGGGGGGGGGAAAAAGCCGTTTCACCGGTGTTCCTAGATCATGCGTCACTGACCAATCTACGGGTGCTTTTCTTCCGCGACCACCCTTGAGGAGCAGAGGGCAGCAAGCCCTTGCACTGTTTACTTTTGAAAGTGTGGGCGACACAAACCAAGAGTTGAGTGTGATGTGCATATGTGAAATAGGTGTACAAACCTTAACCTTTGGCCAGTAGCGGTTCGCCCCTTGCTGCCATGCTGCGGGTACTACTGTGCCTCCTGTTCTCGACTTACCGTTAAGGCCGTCTGGGACGCTGTTTGATATTGATGTGGAAAGGGCCACCGGATGCACGCGGTTTGCACGTCATCTCAACCTGTGCCCTGGGCCCTCACCTCCCTGTTATGGCTGGAGCTAAGCGTGACCGTATGCAAATTATCTTTGTGGAGTACCAGTGCGAAGCCGTCGGCCGTGCCTGCCCTACCCTTATGGGAGACTTGAGACACCACACGTCGGTCAAGTATGATACTGATGGCGATGCGATTATTTCGCTGCCACACCAAGCAGTCCTGACACCGATAAGTAAGCTCACGAGAGTTGCAACTTGCTGCGAATGTATCGCGGCACGTTTTCAATCGCAATAAAGACGGAGATGACTGAGGTGCTGCTGAAGGTGGGCGTGAAGGCCGTCACCGGCACCCAGCTCGAGCTGTCGGACGGGTCCAACATTCCTTACGGGCTCGCGGTCTGGGCAGCCGGAAACGGCCCATTGCCCCTCGTGCTTGACCTCATCCAGGAGGTGGAGGAGCAAAAGGAAAAGGCCGCATGGGGCAGGTGACATCCGGCCTCTGACTACTGCTGTACGCTCACATGTTCTCTAAACACTAAACACCCAAAAATTGTACTAGATACTGTTAGTATTAATACAAACCGTTGTATGTAATATTTGAGGTCGTTTTCTCGCCATTTGCTTTGTAGTTTTGGGGTCTCTGCCTGTCTGTTATTCTTTTTTGTGCACGCAAACACACGACGTCTTGTCGGCCTGTTTAGCAAGATCATGCACAAGATTCGGCTTGTAGATATGACGCGCGTGCTGTTGTTTTGAAATTTTGTTCTGCTCTGTTGAATTTCCCGGCGACGTGTATGCTCGAGCGCGGGACTTCGACGAGCATGGTCGGGGTGACAAGTTGACCACTGGCTCGACCCGTTCCTTGAAATGGACGCTAGACACCTCTAGCTTCTGTGATATTACCGCCTCCTTATGCCGTAAACGCCTCCTCGTGCTTTGACTCCCCTCCTCCGCTTCATGACAACCACGGGAAGGGGGCGGCTGGTGACGGATGACTGGCTTCGGCTTCTCGGCGCTCCCTCGGTGTTCGCCTTGGGTGACTGCGCCGTCATTAATGACAAGCCTCTCCCGCAAACGGCACAGGTGATCGCCTTCACAGCAGCCTGTCTACTGTATCGTTTGGTGTAGTGGCAGAAGGTGTTAAATGTTGTAGGGTCGGTCAGGTCGAGGTGCTGGCATCGCGGACGGCACAGGTGGTTGATTGCGTGTACAAGCTGTCCGCTGTTACAGTTCCTAGCAAGAGGTGGAAGGTGTTGCGGGGGGAGAGTTTAGAGCCGAAACGGTGAACATCACTATGCTGGCGCTGGGCGGGTTCCCTGAGAGGGGTTGCACGCAAGGCGAAATGTGGTGAAGGTTGGGCAGAAGCGAGAAAGTGGGAGGCGAAGCAGACGCCCCATAGGACAACAGCGGTAACTTGTGGGGTAGACAATCGCCCCCAAACGTAAGATGAAAGAGTACCCGGCACATTGACGCCGATCACCAGTTCCTCCTGTATCGTCCCGCGAGACCAATGCCGCCCTCCGCAGATCAATCGATTACGCAATTCCGCAGCATTCCGCAGCACATGAAACGCCTCTTTGTTGTTATTTTTGAGTTTTATGCTACCATACATGCCAATAATTTTAGTGGAACATGGTGACATCACGCTTGGACGCTGTGACGTCACTCTCGGGGCATCCAATCCAGGTTGCTTCGCAGCAAGGGACGTACCTGGCGCGCCTCTTCTCTAGAGGGTTCGAGTTCTCCGCCACGGTACCGCAGAAGAATACCGACAACGAGGGAGTCGAAGCGGCTGCCGGGGGCTCCGCAGCATCATCCGACGGATCAGACACCCCCCTCGGCGAGGACGGCGGAGAGAAGGTGCCTCTCTCCGAGAAGCTTGGACTGAGCATCGTCAAGGGGAAGTTCGCCAAGCCGTTCCAGTTCCTCAACCTCGGCATCCTTGCCTACACCGGCGCTGGCGGGGCGCTGGCCCAGGTCCAGGTGAGGCAAGGGGGTACAGCAGTAGGTTACGCAGGTTTTTAAGTATGTTGCACAACGTATTGAATCGGCCAAGTAGGGGTCGGGGTTAGGGTCTGCGTGCCCGGTTTTTCGTGGTAGACTTGTCTCATTTGCGTAGGTAGTCCGGGGGGGGGAGGGGTACGCTCACGACCAGGATTTTTGTTTCTTGCAGGTCGGTAATCGTGCACGCACGCCTTGCCTGCAAGAGAGAAGAGAAGAAAGAAGACCACAATAAGAGGACCCCTACGAATCGCGCTCCTGGACTCAGAGTGTAGTGTTTTCGCCGACCCCAGCAGGCTCTCCGGAGGGGGGGGATACTCTTGTTTGGTGCTTGCATTGATTATTGGCGTTGATTATTGGCATGGATTATTGGCATGGATTATTGGCACTGGCATGAGCGGTTTCACTGTTTCATTGGTTTGTACGCACATCCCTTTCGGGACCGGGGCCCCGACTGTTGTCACCTGGAGCACGAAAATCCTGCCGTCATTTGCCGATGTGGCCACGTTGTGCTCGTGCGATGCTTTTGCCAACTCTTCTCTTGTGTCCCGTCGCACCTCGGTGATTATGATGTTTGTGTGTTGGGCAGGTTGGCAAGGAATCGGTCAAGAGCACGGGGGCCACCGGCTACCTTCTGTGGCGAAGCATTTACCTCAGCAAGCAGGTAACGAGCATGATTGGTCCTTTTTTTGAAATGTTCACGTCGACAACCGCAGCTGTCATTTCGCAGGTATGTACCAGTAGTATGGAACACTTTGTGCAATCAAGTTGTGCCCTAGGAGACTCATCCACGTCGGGATTGAAAGCTGGGAGACGTAACCCTCACCGAAGTTGAACGGTAAAGAACGATGTTGTTGTGTTTCGGTTCTGAATTGTGTTGCTTTGTGGGCAATATGTGTTGGCACCGCACCCATCCGCAGAACACATGGCCCCAGCAGTAATTTGGTTAGCGGACATACACCGAGTGGGAGCCCTTTGGGAGGCAGGTGACAGACGAACCGTGGTCACTCATGCTGTTGCGGTGTCTCAGGCCAGACGCGAGGGCTGTGGCCACAGATAAATACCGTAGTGAGTTACACGGCTTCGCCTCGTGTAAATTGATTTTGCGGTGCCCCCTCCACAAGCCCCCCCCTCGGTGTTTGCCATCGGGAATGGGTTTTCGTCGCTTGGCAACGACGTTGTAAAACAAGCCAATTCACTTCGTGAACTCGGCAACCAGGTTACCGTTTGTTTTTTTACCTCTGTGTTTTTTTTGGCGGTGNATCTCACGGCCCTTCGCGCTTGGTGATGTGAGAGCCTGGTCCGGTGAGAACCCGGTCCCGGCTTGATAGGGATGCGAGGTCAATGGTCTAACGACTAAGGCATGCACGACTATGAGTACACTCCCCCCCTCCCTTTCCTCGCAAAGGTGTCCTGGCGGAACCGGTTCCTGGTGGGCACGGACTGGATCAAGACCAAGATATTCGGCCGGGACATCACCCGGCTCTAGAAAGAAGAAAAGGCTCGTGTTTAACTCAAAGTCGACACGTAGAAAACGGTCTGTCCTATCTAGACCACTCACGTCCTATGCATAGAACATCGTGTGCTCAGATTGAATCTAGGCTAGTCTAGTGGAGGTGTCGTTCTAGGCTAGCTCAATGCACGAGTCTTCCTGCTGGTTAGATAGACTGTTGTACTACTACTCTGTATTGTTCCCTGAACAGGCAGCCTCTCACCGCGGATGTTGCCGGTCCCCTTTCAAATACAAAATGCTATAATTTTAGGGCTCATTGCCGATTGTGGGGTCATTTTTTCCCGTACACCGCAAACACGTTGCCATGCGGCTTATGATATTTCCTTGCTCCCCAATGTATGAGAACCAATGGAGTTGGGTTGCGAAGGAAAGTGCATGTGCCGGGTGATGTCGCCACTCGCGAAAGAAATACCGCTGTGCAGGTATGCAGTAAGACGGGGCCCTTCGTCCTTACCTCCTATGCATAGAGTGGATTGCGGTTGGACGAGACAAAGGCCACCATTGGCGTTACAAGGACACGCACTAACCAGCTATCTAGTGTACCTTTGCCGCGTTGGGAGGACCTTGTTTGTTTTTTCATATTTCATTTTCACGTGGTTGAAGTTGGGCAACTTTCGCTTGTTCTCTGGATAGATATCGTATCCCGTACCGTTTCCCGTTCTTTTGCGGTTCAGGCAGGCGCATGATGCAGGCACGGTATCCATCGTTGTCGCCGTACGTGTTGAGGATTAAAGGATTTTGCACATCAAGCTTGTCAGCGTCGGGACTGACGGCGAACTTGTGGTATACTGCAGAAAGAGCACCGTATCATAAGTCCACGGTAGAGTGTAAAGCTACCTGGAATTACCCACAATTTTGAGGGCAGCTTCGTGGTACGCCCACGGAATGAAAGTGGAATTGCTCGTGTGCTTGCGTCTACTTTGTTTNGGGGGGGGGGGGGGGGGGGGGGGGGGGGGGGGGGGGGGGGGGGGGGGGGGGGGGGGTCAAGTGCCACGTACAACGAAATCGACGGTTTCGTTGTAGATGTCGTGGTATTATTATTGCTGCAGGCATGCCTGTGTGTGGTTTCCGCGGGAAAATGTGTGCAGGAGGCTACGGGGTGAGGGCTTTCTTGGCGAGTACTGTACTGTTCGCGTGCCGCAAGGGAGGGCGATAGAAGGATAGAGAGACAGGAAAGGCGGTGGCGGATAAGGTTGTCAGGGGTTGCCGTTCCTCTAGGCTCCTCCTCCGTCGCGAGTAACAATAACCGGTTACATACCTACGTGGGTGTACTCAGCGGAAGGAACTGATGAAATCGAATCGACTTCCCTCTCCCACGCCTTAACTTTGAGTGCACAACGGTATCCGCTACCATACAGTAGATACCTGCTGTACGCGTGTAGCAAAACCAACGATCAAACAGTGTGCCCAACCAGACTGGAAAACGCCCGGGCTATTGCTGCTTCAGTGCAACAGGTGGAGCAAGGACTCTTTGGACGTCGGAGGCTTTGACCGAAGGACACAAAGTGGCAAAGTGGCGATTCTCCCCCTCAAAAAGTACCCAACCAACCCTTGCAGTACAATTCTGATGGAAGCACCAAGCGATGGCCGTTACGGGGGACACGCAATACTTCGGCGCTTTGCGGTTTTACATTGTGGAGTAAACAGATGCCAACAGAAAAAGTAGAAAAAAAAATCCAAAGACGAAAGCGGCACATAAGCCAACCGAGCCTATTTAGCGGATGTGGGGAAGTGTTTTGCGACATGCTGCATGCTCGATAATCACGGCGAGGTCAGATACCCCAACAAATTACACCCGTGGTCCCTCTATAGTGCCAGGTGGGTTCACCCGCACAATGAGGGGCACCAATCCTCACTCAATTCAAATCTTAAACCAACTTCGTTATTCAATGCCTAGACTATACCTGTGTCAACGGACAAAACATTTCACCCACCCTACACCGCCCACTCGCCCTGCATAGTAAAGAGATATGCCCAAACGAACACCAGCAATGAAGCAACATCGTATCCTAAGAAACGTCTTGATGCACGCGGCCTTGAGGGAAGTCGGGGTGGATAGGGGTGTGAGTGCGGGGTCGTCTGCGCAACTTGAAATCGCAATGTGACATGTCGTCGCACACATGCCGTCCAATCACAGACAGCACTTACAACCAACCTCACGGCAGACACCTACCTACCAATAACGTCCACGCCAATAGGGCCACAGTACGCACACCACGACACACGCTTGCCTGTGCCGGTACGGTGAGCAGGGGCAGGGAACTCAGCGCCGTTATCATCTCCCACATGCTTCTCCCGCACAAAAGACCCGAAACAGCTCGTCCCCAAATCGGTTGCAGCGGCAGCACGTATCAGCCACAACACTCGTCCTCAACTTTCGGAACCACCCCATTTAAGGAAAGGAACCCCCCCCCCCCCCCTCCTCCGCCTGGTGGCCATACGCCCACTTCCAAAAAATTATCGACAAAGGGTAAAACGAGGACAACACGCGACTATGCCGTCCACCACTTGCTCCAATACGTTCGCTCGCGAATCCGGCACATGGCACCACCCAGCAAAATCGGTTCAAGACAGAGAGAGAGACACAGAGAGACAGAGTAACAACGTCTAGGGGCGCTGGAGAATCGCGCCTCAGCTACGCCAGGCTGCTCGCGAGACACCTGTTAGATAATCACCCCTCACTGCTAGAAATACGGACCGAAACCTCTTGCTTTCGGACCCTTTCCCTACTACCGTACATCCACAAGCCCTCTCGACCTAGTACGTAGGAACACACCAACCCCGTAACAACGCTACTACACCCATACAGAAACTGAAACGGGCGTGTCGATTTCAGGGCCTGTCAGCGCAGCCCTTTTTGCCCGAAACGCCACAGATACCGCCGTTTTCAGCCGCAACGCGAGGCGCCACAGCAGTCCACGAGCATCGTGATAACCTACAGCAGATAGCACATGCCCCCCC